AATGTGATGATCTCTCAAACAAGGGATCACGCGAGGACGTCGGGCGCGAAGGTGACCCCTATGCAGTCGATTCCGAATCGTCTGGCCACTCACTCTCACACCAGTGTCTGTTTGAAGACGAGCGCTGATCTGATTTGCTGTGATGACACGATTTCTCAAGGCCAAGGTACGGATAAATCGATCCTGGGCTTGAGTTGTCGCCCTTGGTCGACCTGAGCGTGGTCTGTCCTGTACAGATTGTGTATCACGGTATCTGGACCATAGCCTGCTTATGACAGACTGAGAAACATTCATCGCCCGCGCCACAACCGCCTGTGTTGTGCCGATCTGTAGCATGCCAAGGGCACGTAACCTTTCATTTTGGGTAAGCCGACGCATATCAAAATTTGTTTTCTGGTCACTAAAACAATTAAACTGATGTTTCCACCCTGGAATTCAATGCCACAATGACTGTAACATTCAAAGTCAGAGTCGTGCAAATCTTGGGTTGGACCCCCATGATGATCCCAAGCATCACCTGCATTCCATGCGGTAGCTATTGGTGCGTTTGGGCGTCACATGTAACTGGAAATGTTTCTTCTGTTAGGTTCTATAGTGACTTTTTTCGTAGTCATTTGCATATTTTAGTATTATGCCCCCAAAATCAAATATCCCCTACTTTTTTTGAATAGTATATCTAGTTAAACAGGCTTGCAATTTCCGAGAAATGTCCCTCTTGTGTAAAAGTTCGTGTCCGGGTATCTTGAACGAAACTATTATTTATTTAAACTAAATTATATTATATTTCACTATTGTTAATTCTTTTATATATTGTATTGTCCTTCTTGATCAACGAATCCGTATTTTATTATTTTATCAAAACTGTATCCATTATTGGTTATATATCATAACAAGATTATATATTGAAATATTGTTTTAACTTATGTTATATAATTTAATTTTATTTTATTTAAATTTCAACATTCAGAAACAAACATAATACGAATCAATATGCCTATATACAGGCACAGATTAAGATTAAAACAAACAAAAAACTAGTCGGGGGGCAGGGGGGACCCTATCGAAATTCAAACGCCATACAGTGTTCTATGAAGAAAAAATTTCCCGGACAGCCGCCCACAGGCCTACTCTTATATTTAATTCAAACTGTCAGGGTTCTTAAACGTGCGCGCAAATGTGTCCACTAGGCAAAACCTAGTAACTCACTTTTCTTTTTTTTTTTTATCAAAATTGAGTTAGGACCAAATTTGTAGTTACTAATGTGTGTGCTTCCTGTTGTTGTACTAGATATTCCAATCTTTTCATTTTGTAAGCAGTTACACCCATGGCACAACCTAGCAACTTCCTTCATTTCCCTAGTATGCCACAGTAAAACCTAGTAACTCAATTGTCCAATCAGATTGCTTGAAACAAAGATGGCAGCCCCCGTTGTTTCAATTTATTATTAGAATATGTTTAGTTTTCTTTGAATATACATAAATTACATTATGTTTTCGACAAATCGGGGGAGGAAGTTAGTACAACTGGCCTTGGAAAATGCAAAATAAGTATTTTTAAGACCCTATTTATTTATAGTGAGAATCAATAGACTGCTTGGGTCCTGGCTTAGGCCTAGAAAAGTAGAACGTGGTCTATGCATGGCTGATAAATAATTGAATGCAGTGCCCAATACATGACAATGTGCATGCAGAAGGTGACAGTTCTGTGCTATGACACATAACCAGCCGGTTTATGTATGGTGTAGGCCCTGCATGTTTGTTTGTTATGGGAAAGGCCCCAATATAGGCCTAAAGCCTTTTGTTTATCTACTAAGTTATCTTGGTTGGTGTATAAACTGCCTATCTTCTCTAGCGTATATTCAGTCTTGGTACTATATAAAGAGAATACCCTTTGACATATAATAATGTTTTTGATCCCCACCTTTCTTTTCACCCGCCAGTCTGTCCGATCAAATGTACGGTGGAAAGTTTGGGACACAATAACTCTTTATTCACAACACGTCTCCGCCATTTTGAATTTTGACACCACAGTGACGTCACAGTTCAGCCATTTTGTATTCTGACGTCACGGTGACGTCGAACATTACTTTTTACATCATTTCTGGAATCCTTGGTATCACTTTCCTATATGTTGATAATACATTTCTAGGCTGTAAAATTGATATTTTTGAAGTTATAAATGGTTTTCAGTTTCATTATGTTGACCCAGGGGGTCAAAATTTCAAAATGCTGTAAAAAAATTTGCTCAACTCCGGTCGGCGGGGAAAATTTTTCTGGAACACCAGGGACATAGTTGTTTCAGAAAATGAAGAAATCATTTGGGTAGGAATTTCTTCCCACAAAGCTGGATTTGTCACCTTCTCCAACCAGCCTATTACACCAATGACAGTGTCATAATCTACATCTGACATGTTAGACCCCTGTCACAAACGGAAACCATTAATGTAAATTTACAAAAACAATATAAAGAGTTCAAATGGAAAGATTTAAATGTTTCGTAATTTCATATTTTTTCAAAAAGGAGATTAAATCACGAATAGCAAGTAAAGTGACGGGATTGATGATTTAAACAATATTTGATTCAGATAAGATTCATGTTAAATACATACATTGATGATTTAAACAATATTTGATTCAGATAAGATTTATGTTAAATACATACATTGCTGATTTAAACAATATTTGATTCGGGTAAGATTCGTGTTAAATGCATACATTCTCATCAAACAGCCATTTTGTAACTAGCCTGTCAACACTACCCGACTAATCTGTCGTTACAAAAATAATTCTAACTTTTTTTTAACACCATTGGACGTAATCTCACGAAACCCCCAACCACTTGAGAAGGTGATTAACAATCCTGACATGCAGTTTGTATAAGCCTTTGAATGGGATAAACGTTGGCACATGATTCTGTGAAATAGAAATAGAAAATTATCAAAAACGTCCATGGATATACCGCTTTTATGATTTGAAACTCGTGTATCTAGTGTTCCCTAAAGGGTTAATATTAAAATATGTCTTCCACCTTTTTTTTCCTTCCAGAGAAACATGCTACAACTGATCATTTTTTATGTAAAAATGGTGGTGCTGTGTCAGTAAAAGAAAGATGTCTTCTAACACCAGATAAACATGGTATCTATAAGGGATGTAGAGATTTGTCGCATATAGAGAATTGCAGTAAGTAAAACCAAGTAACACATCACCGTTCACATAATTTCAGGGTGGCTATGAAAATATAATTAAAATCGTTCGCGATATCACCTTCAATGAAAACGGATGTTGAGCCCCACGAATCACTGAAAGCGCTAGTATTAAATCGAGCCTTTTAATCCATCGGCCATGCAATAACATTATTTCTAGAGAAATTAGACTACAGAAATCTGATCGGGTGTTCCTTTGAAACCAAAAGCCAGGGAGGCACTGCATAAAAATTGGCCATAGAGTAGGGTCTAAAGGGAACCCTATTAAAGTGGAAATCATTCTAGATTATATAGGTCTACATCGTATTTGGGAGTTCTAACGCATTTAAAAAAAAATTAAAGAAGACACATAAACTCCTTTGCCTGACCCCAACCCGTTAGAGCATGTTTGGGTCATCTTCGGGCCCACATGTACAGACTCTGGCGCACCTGGAGGCATTACTTCATCGAGAATGGCAGCAACTGCCCATTCAGCATATCAGACGACTTACTGGAGGGATGAGATGAAGGATAATCCGTGCACGTGGCGGTTTAACCGCTATTTTTAGTCCACAGCTGATATTGATGACGCAGGGCACCGAGTCTGCTATACAATCTAATAAACAGTCAACCTATATTTATAGTTGTCTTTATTTATTTAAACAATGATTTATTAACGATTATGTTTGCCAGGAAGATATTCAAAGACTGGCATATTTCTAGTTAATGTTTATATCATGTAATTTGTTTAACAGATTTTGGCACAATAATTTGATACTTTATTTTTTCTTTATGGTACCAGTAACCATATCGTAGGGAAATTATATTGTTTCATCATGAACAAAGCTGTTACACTACAAGAAATGAAATGAAATGGGGTTTAAAGTCCTGCTGTTCTGCTCCGACTGGGCATACGCCCTACTTTTATATCGAATTCCAACTGTCAGTGGTTCTTTTAAGTGTATTCAATGTGTATACGGGGCCTCGGGTTTTCCAACGAACGACTACCTACCACCCCCTCCCACCCCCACCCGACACCACTCCGATCCGACACAACTCCGGCACCACTGAAAAGGCAGGACCGGAAAATCACCATGATTCGTGAAAATATAAGTTTTCTTGCTTCTCGATGAAATAAAATATGTTATTCACTCTAAAACGACAAATATCCTCTATATATCCTTTGGGACTATGCCGCATGTCTAGGGAATCGAAGTCCGCTCAGTTCTTTTAAAGCCGACCTGGCGGGAACCCTTTACCTTTACTCGATTGATAAGTCTACACATGCCCATTTTCTAAGATTGACCTTGAAGATGAGGGTTATTTCGTGACTAAAATGATGGAAATCTATCCAACATTGTTCACTATACCATAATCTATCATCATTTTTCTGGTTTCCTTGTAAATATTTACTCGATTAAGTCTTTCCTTTGAAACGACTCTTGTAGTATTCATTGGTACAGTATTTGTATGTTTAATAAAGTAGCTAACCATATAAATTATAGTAAAACCCCAAACTACTAACTTGTTTATAGTCCGGCAGAGTGGTGAAATAATTGTGTATCGTGGTGATAAGTTATGGTAAAGTGAACAATGTTGGGCGTAGTCCCAATGGAATTCTATCCCTCAATTCTGATTATAGATTTCCTTTTCACCACCTGGATTCCAATATGTAATGGCGGCTGACACATATTGTAAATTGATATCTTCTACTTTTCAGATGATTTTATGTGTCCTGCTAATTATTACAAATGTAGTAATAGCTACTGCATACACGTTTCACTTCTTTGTGATGGTAACAATAATTGTTTAAAACATGATGACGAAGGTCCAGTATGTAGTAAGTATATGATAGTCTTCCACTAGTATTATTTATACGCGCTCGAATTTAATCACATTTAAGATTTCCAAAATATTGGAGTTAACTTACTTTGGTGTTCGCCACCTTCTTTCATCTGTGTTTTATTTCGTCAAATTGTATAATTATTAGTCGGTATCTATGTACATTTGAGCGAATAAAGCGTATTTTGGTTCTGTTAATGCATGTGTAATTGACGTTTGGTTTTGTTAATGTATGTGTAACTGACGCTTGGTTTATCGTCATGTTTAAGAATCGGGATGCTTGCCATTTGTAAGTAAACGATCTGACTGTGATAGCATGTAATGTGTATTACATCTTCCTTTTCAGATAATAAAACTTGTTCGGGTTTCTATAAATGTAGGAAATCCAACCAATGTATTGAGCATCAACAAGTTTGTGACACGATCGAAGATTGTCCTAACGGTGATGACGAATATAATTGTGACTTTGTGTGTCCAGAGTCTTGTGCATGCCAGGGGGCTATGGCAAAGTGTAGCGGATCACGCATTCATGAATATGTTGTTGATTTGTCAGTTACTACAAAGAAATTAATTTTGGACAACAACATAATTGATTTAGAAAATATTAATTTTAAAAATCTATCGTTGCTACGAGAACTAAGCTTAAGCAGATGTGAAATTTCATACATTCCGGAAGATCAATTTATCAACCAGAAGAATCTTCTTTCCCTTGATTTAAGTTATAATAATATTACTATTCTATATCGTGGAACATTTCGAGGTTTGCACAGACTACAAAATTTGGAACTCCTCGGTAACGAACTGCTTCGTGAAATAGAACCGGGGACGTTTGAGGGATTAAGCAGCCTTCCCAGTCTTTTAATCTCTCGTACCAATGTGCGTAATTTAGAATCATATACTTTCCAAGGACTTAGTTCATTGACTAAGTTGTCAATTAATCTCGGTATATTACATACTATTCAGGATCGTTCATTTGCCTCACTGGAAAACTTACAAAACTTGGATCTCAGAGAACAGAATATAGAATCATTTTCTGCGGGAATATTTCAAGGTTTAAGTAACCTGATAACTGTTCATAGTGATTCATTTATCTTTTGTTGTTTAAAACCCGATTCAGTGACAGATGACAACTGTTATCCAAAACGAGGAACATTTTCATCATGTGACAATTTGATGCGACGAGAGGTCTTGAGGATCTTTATGTGGGTCATCGGTGTTTGTGCTTTAACAGGAAATTTTGGTACTGTCCTTTACCGCTTGATTCTGGACAGGGGGATGCTTAAATCCGGCAGTGGACTCTACATTACCCATTTAGGAATTTCTGACTTTTTGATGGGAATATACATGCTAGCTATTGGCGTTGTGGATGCAATGTTTCGAGGGAAATATATATATTTTGATCAATGGTGGAGAAATAGCACGTATTGTCAGGTTCTCGGAGCTTTGGCTACTCTCTCTAGTGAAGCATCAGCTCTTTTTCTATGTCTGATAACTCTTGACAGATTTCTCTTAATAAGGTACCCTCTTGGACAAGTTCGAATTTCACCACGAATGTGTAGAACGGCGATAATTTGTGTTTGGTTATTTTCTCTTGTAATAGCCCTGGTTCCCGTTTTACCAGGTACAGGATTTACAGAATTATTGTACAGCAGAACAGGTGCGTTGATTTAATATTTCATTTGTGTGATATATTATTATCCCCCCCCTTTGCTGATAGTTTTTGCATTTTATCTATATAAGTATCAGAATAGGAGTGATCATTTTAATGAAACGATAATTAATAGTCTTAGGAATTTGGTGTTTTTTCTTTAAAACTAATATATTTTTTTATCAAAATGCCTTACAGGTATCTGCTTGGCATTACCGTTGACTCCCGACAGGACACCGGGTTGGCAGTATTCCACGGCAGTTTTTGTGTTTTTCAACTTTATGACATTTCTGTTGATATGTATTGGTCAAGCTATTATGTACAAATCCGTTGTTCAATCTGGTTCTTGTGTTCAAAGTAAGGAAAGGCAAGCACGAGATTTACAAATAGCTAGAACATTGTCTATTATTGTCATAACGGATTTTATTTGTTGGTTCCCAATTTGTTGTATGGGTAAGTTTTCCTTTTCGTACGCCAAAATTTTATGCATTATTATATTTTCGCCCCCACCCCCACCCAGTCATTCCATCGACCCATCTGGCTATCTGTTAACATTTCTTTTAAGCACTGATAGTACTATGATATTGTTGGTAGTGGGAGTTCATAGTTGTACATTCTAATCATGATTCGACTTTATATCTATCAAACACAGCCTAATACGAGATTATCAAATTGTGCTGATAATGAGGATTGGTCCAGCAGTGGGATGTCCATTATTCTGCATTGTATACCCTATCGAAATGCCTGACAAGAACAGCTGTCTAGTCGTTCGGATGGGACTAAAAACCGAGGTCCCGTGTACACATTGGCGTGCACGTAAAAGATCCCTGTCCGGGCAAAATTTCCTTCATAACACACAGTATGGCGCATGCCCGTCTTCATTAGCCCAGTTCAAAGCAAAACAGTAGGACATTAAACCCCATTTCATTTCATTTCATTTCCTATCGAAATGATTAGTGTAGTTATGGGCCTAGCCCCCTCCGCCCCCCCCCCCCTCACCCCCCCCCCCCAAAAAAAAAAATAATAAAAAATACCCGCAATCCTATAAGTTTACTGGCGTTTTTAAGTTGATAAATATTGTTTCAGGTTTGATGTCTCTTGGTGGTGTTTCTATTGATAGTGAGGTTTATGCCTGGGCTGCTGTTTTCATATTGCCTGTAAATTCTGCTCTAAATCCAATCATATATACAGCTTCAGCTTATTATAAGCATTACGTATGCCATTTTATCGATATACAGTACAACAAAGCAAATATGCACTCACGAATATATACATGTATATACAGGGTGTGCCAACAAATGTTACCCATTCTAAGAAGGGGTGCGTGGATTGAGCATATCATTAATTATTGAACCGTGTTCAGAAACAATGACAAAATAGGAGACTATAGTAGTATCCAATAAAAGTTCGTACTTCTGTGCCATTTTCTGTAAAAAATTATCAAAGTATTCACATTTAAAAAAAAGTAGTATACAATCAGAATGGGTAACTTGTTTTGGTACACCCTGTACATTATTTAAAGGGGACCAGTGGTGGCTCAGTGAGTAACACGTTGGCTCGTTAGCCTGGGGGTCCGGTGTTGGATCCCGGTGTTGGCCACAAAAGTTTATCTGGGTTTTCTAGTGTAGTTCTCCCTTGTCAGTGGTGCAGGGCAGAGGGTCTGACAAGGTAAAATCTTTCGGATGGGATGAAAACCGAGTTCCCGTGTACATATTGGCGTGCGTGTAAAAGAACCCTTGACAGCTGGAAATAAGTGTAGGCCGTAACGCCGCTGTTCAGGGAAAATTTCCCTGAAAGCACCTTGTGTGCCCTATGGCGTATGCCCTTCTTCATTTGTCCAGTCGGAGCAGAATACTTCAATTCATTTAATTTACATTATTTAAAACCATTTAATCCAGTTAGCATGAACCTTTCAGATACTAATAGAAAACAAATTCTACACAGAATACCGCCAAATGATCACGCCTACCATCAGTCAAATTCGATCTTTCAGCGTGAACACATTGCAATGTTCAGGTTGACGAATCAAGTAAAACGAGGCCTAGGCGTGCTAAAATATGGGCTTTGTATGACTTGACGGCCTAAATACTTCAGTCATATATAATCCGCTAATGACAATTTGATTATAATTTAAAAATTTCCATTTTTCAACCGCAGTACACTTTTAATAGGCCACGGCAGAATATAAATTAAATGTACAATTTAAGGGGAATCGTCTTACTGAAAACATATTAAAATATACTCTTTCAAAAGAAAATAGGGGATATTCAGAAACAATACAAAACTGCGGAAATACACTGCTGCTTTTATTAGAGGTAACCAGTGTATGTTAATAACAGGCCAACTGCCAAACATGAACATAAACAGTTCATATTGGCGGCTTATTTGACGGCCCCATTTCACTCGCAAAGAGATACACTGTCAACTGTCAAAATTGAAATGGACGTTTTAGATTTTTGTCTTAATATGAGTAATTGCTCCACCAATCCCCAGACATTCAGCAATTCGTCGTGGCATGCTCCTAATCAACCGTCTAATCACGATTTGGAACAATCTGACCCACTCCTCTTGCAGTGCCACGGCCAATTCTTGCAGTGTTGTCGGTTGACGTTGACGTCGATGAACACGTCTCCCGATCATTTCCCAGACATGCTCTATAGGGGAAAGCTCAGGACTCATGGCTGGCCAAGGCATATGGACAATATGGTGACGCCGTAGGTAGGCATTCACGACACGAGCGCGGTGGACACGGGCATTATCATCTTCATCTGTGAACATACTCTCAAAGCATGTCAAGTGTCCATGGCTATTAATTATATCACAACCTGCATAGGTATTTTCATTTCAATATCCCCTACTTTTTTTTGAAGAATATAGATCATTGCCATTTGGAATGTCAAATTAGTATGTCTAATCGTTCATAGTATTCTGCTAAGACCAAAGTTTAGTACCCGTTGTAGTTATTATGTTGGATTTATATCCACTTATCGATGTCAGAAGCCACAGTTTGAGGTCAGTGTTCTAAATTACATTCTGAATAACACTAGCAATATTATGCTATCTCAAAGTCTTCACGTCACTACTAATATAATTTTTAAAGGAATAACCAATCCATCAGTCATAATGTCCTTAATTCTTGAACACATATTGTTAAATTGGTATATTTCAGCGAAGAAAGCACCCAAAAGCAGAACAGTCTTTTGCAACATCCAGCATCCAGACACTCGAAGTGACTGCCTTAGGTAAATTATAATGCTTGGTGCTTGAAATGCATTTGTGCAGCATGAATGAAGTTGGGAGCAGGATTGAATTCGATCATAAAGATGGTATCATTAGTAAACTGTTGCACTGGTCGTGCCTTATTTGTTTACGCATTAAATAACTAATTAAGCTTAAAATAATTCGTTTTATGTTATTCAACGCTCAGATTTATACTTTCCGATTCAATCAATTGTCTAGTCATACGGGGTTGGTATCGTTGTGAATTGTGGGAAAGCGTATACAGGAACAATTTTGGATGGTTTGGGAATAAAATTGAATGATATAAATATTTTCCTGATCGAACATCTTGATTAACATTACAATGTCGCGTAAATTCAGTACGTTTACACGACATTGTAATGTTAATTTAATTAGATTGACTTGAAAATAACACATCTTTAATTTAAAAAGAATCAGTTGCTTCTCATTGCAGTAGATATAAAACCACTTGAACTATTCATGCAACTATTTCTGTTTACCAATGTTTACTGATTATTAATTCGAACTATTTTCCTCTGAAAGATTTTTTGCAGTCGGCTGAAAGAATTGGTAAAATATTACGTTCACAACAAAATGAGTCGGCATCTGACAACAACCACGTGTTACTTAAAACCTACATGAGTTCACCATCATACACCTTTACTGCTGAGGGGATGTTATTTATTACAAGTGAACTAATGAAAAGTATGGCTACTTTGCATAGCGAACATGTGCTGTATGGAACTATATCAGATGAAGATGTTCTGATTTTATTGGACAAGTCGGTAAGTAAGAACTTAATTTTGGAATCTAATGAAATGAAATGGGGTTTAACGTCCTACTGTTCTGCTCCAAACTGGCCTGATGAAGGTGGGCATATGCCATTCAGTGCTATGAGGGAAATTTTGCCCGGACAGCGGCACTACCGCCCGCTCTTATATCGAATTCCAACTGTATACACGCTAATGTGTACACTGGACTTCGGGTTTTCGTCCCATCTGAACGACTAGACAGCTGTCCTTGTCAGGCCCTCCGTCCTGCATCACTGACAAGGGAGAACCACGCCGGAAAATCTGGATGAACTTTCTCTGCCAATGCAGGGATTGAACACTCGACCTCTAGGCTAGTCCACTTAGCCACCGTGATCTCCTTGGAATCTAATGTGATTTGGCTTAGAGTATTGGTGAACTGCTACATGTACAACACGTACTAGATTGAGATAGAAAGTTAGTTAGATTAAAATGTAGGGTAAACATCAAAAAACAACATTTGAATTCCATTACATTGAATCGCTCAGATTGTTCGATCATCATCACCTTATTTTGACCTACATCCTTGAGATAGTGTTTCCTGAATTATAGATGCGACGTTTAAATATTTTTCAGAAAATTATTTCTGTCATACTAACTGTCAATGAAAGAACATCGGAGGTTGGCAGTAAACAAGAGGATGTATTTGGTTTGGGTACACTGCTGTCCAAAATGCTGGATATTTATGCAAGCAAGAGAAAATAGCAATTTTAAAAAAAATTGAAAACCTACATTTAACTAGTTGTGAATTAAAGTATGATATGTTGCATTTTTTATATAATATCTTTTGTTGTTTCGATGTCTTTTTGTGAGCTTTCAATTTAAAGATATATATCTTTGACAATCCATATCCTAAATATATAGAGACGCAATGAAAACGTACCACGTTAATAAATGAATGAATGTACATCAGATACAAAATCCTGAATGTTACAAATTCAGATAACGGCGATAACACGAGTGAATGTTTTCACGGTCGCGATGAGTCGTTCCTGAGTTACCCCTTTTTTAAAACCCTGTTAACGCGATAGAAGCTACATATTGTTTTTTCAAAATTAGTTTAAGGATAAAATTATTAGAGAATCGATAAAAGTCGAAACTAAATCGAAGGTTACATAAAATTGAATGTTAATATAGGGCTAAATATATCACAGAATACATATAAAAGTAAGTTACAAGCGATATGCAGTCTAGATTTAAAAACTGAGATATTAGGTTTTTTTTTTACATCTTAAGGCAATTTCTTCCATTCACAAGGAGAGGCGTACTCAAACGCTTCTTCACAAAACGAGTTCTGGTCGTGGGACAGATTAATTTATTTTGAGTTGATGATCTGAGCTTTCTTGAAGGGTTGTATGGATGAAAAGTTCAGCGAGAAAGGCTACAATATGTAATAGATTGTTTTCAAACTCAATGTGAATCATTGAGGTCATGTGAGGACGAACACCATCTATATTCCGTAATCTTCTGTTCAAGAGTTACCCCCTCCCTCTTCCCTTTCTATAAAATCACTGGAATCGGAAAGGATAAGTCCGCTAGAACGTGTAAACATGATAGCGACTAGATGTCTTTGGAAACCCTAGTCAAATGTAGTCAACATCCGAGATTTCCTATTGGGCAAGCTGCTGTGTCGCTATTTTCAATGTCTGTCATGGTCTTTGTCATTTATTCTTGAATATCGGGCTTTTAAAGGACAATATTGGTGTCAGTCATTATAAAATATGTGATAGAGCTCGTTAAATACATCCCAAATATAATTTTAACACAGAGATCATTGCTACGATAGCTGAGTAACAAGCATGTGAAGAAACGGGAAGTGACGTCAAACATGACAAACATGAGTTGTCCTTCTATATAACAGATTGAAGTAACGAGCGGTAACAGACAAACGATCGAATTTCTTTTCACTGATAATTCAGTTGAAGATGAAAAGTTGTTATATGGGACGATGAGAGGATATCTGACAATTCAAAAAAAGAATTGGCTGTCAGTAGATAAAAGATAACGAACAAATTAGAAAAAGTCCGTGCATTGCCATGTTTTTATTAAGAACAGAATGAATAAAGACGGGGGAATGCACGGGATTTTTCTATTTTTCTCGTGTCCCTTATCTAGTGACAGCCAATTCTATTTTTGAATTGTGAGATACCCTCTCACCGTCCCAT